ATGCTGAAGTGAAGCTATTTAATAAGTGTTTTAATATGATGTTGTATTAAACCACATACTTCTTTCTAAGCAGCAACAACAACAAAAACCACTACCAATGATGCTGATGACCTAGCTAGCAGAATTGAGATCCTGGTTGCAAGTATAATGAGACGCTCTCAGCGTCTTGATAAAGATACAGACGGCAACAAAGCTCGTGCCAGGATCCGATGCAAGATCAGGAAGGAGATCCTGACCTCGGTTGTAGAGAGTTACAACAGAATGGTTCCAAGTACAGAAACTCTTTGCTTGGAGAACATTCTGTCGGAGGAGGAGAACGCTTGGCCATGGCAGCTACCACACAGTGGTATGTACACAAGTCTGTATATAAGTCTCTATAAGTCTGACATAGTTTTTACATAATTGTGTCTGTTCCATGAATGCAATCCAGACTCTGTTGATCTAAAGACCAAGAGAAGGGCATTTGACATTGTCAATGCAATAAGGAGGCTTCAAGAGGATAAGAAGATTGTTCTCATTGAGATGGACCACCATTGGAGAGCTCTTCAAACCCGTGGTGATGGCCTGAAAGAGCTGTCCTGCCTGCTTTCCAGTGAGACAATGCAAAGTATGTATTTAAATTATAAACGTCATAAACAGAAAAACATTATTACAATGATGTTATTCCAACACTGGCTTTATCTTATTGTGTTTTACTTTGAAGATTTGCCCTGAGTCCTAAGTGAAGAGGGGTTGAGAGGTCTGCAGAGCACCATCCTCAGAAAGCGGCAGAACATCACAGAGAGGAAGTTGCCGGGTACCTTCAAGTTTTGTCTGGACAGGAAAACATGAATTTCTTGCACAGGGCTTCAGCTGATGACTATGACAGTGACTCTGATTCTGACGTGGATTAGAAAATGACCCCTTCATATGGACGATTATAAATATGCTCCTTCAACCCTCCCGGCCCTCCCTGCACTCAGGATCTAAACAGCAAAAGTACTGCTATGGAACCAAACAGCTTTCTGAGATCAACTATTTCCCAGGATCCAAAATGTTCATCCAACCGTAACCATCATAATCAGTCATCATAAAGGCTCAGAAGAACACTCCTGACACATCTTCAAACATTGTGAATAGCCTCTTAAAACACTACTTCATTTGATTATAGATTACATTTTTAAGGTTAAATGCACATCTTTGTTTTTTAAATACACAAATCATAATGCCAGTCAATATAAATCCTGCATACTGTATATAATGTATATAGACATGTATTTGCTTCATACATACTGTACATAATCATGTACTCCATGTATATCCATTCAATCTGTAAATCCTTGTTACAAGTTGTTATGTTAAGAATTAATGTAAACACTCAAACTTGTATTGTGTTGTTTGTAACATTTAGATATAATTAGGATTTATTCAGTTATATAAATACAACAAATTATATATAGGCCTAAGTTATATCTATTTCTGTATATTATACTGAGAGCAATGAAAAAGCAATATTTCTATCTGTACACATAATTTGTAAATAAAGTTGATTGTTGCAACCGAGTCTCGCATCACATGTTTAATAGGTTTGTCGGGCTTTAGTACAAAAACAAATAAGTTATTTATTGTTTGATTTCGCTAGTTTTGGATGGCACAAAGTCATTCAATCATGATAGTCAACCACCTGCTATAAAATATAGAATCTTGGTAACAATTTATATTAAGGTACACAAATTAACCATCAACTAGTTGTTAACTAACATGCATATTAGCAGTATATTGGCTCCTTATTAGTCAATATAAAAACGTATTAATGCCTTATTCTGCATGACAGTATTCTACAAGTAATAAGCCATTAGTTGAGAGTTTTTCCTCAATAACCCTCTAATTAGTGCTGATTTATTGCAAGAAAGGAAGTTGTTGTACATGAGTTTGGGTCTTAATATGCTAGAATTATTGCTAGCATTAGCATACAGGCTAGTCCATGCTTATTGCACAGCTAGCATTAGCTATATTTACCTTGTTTACACTTAGCGGTCGTATTAATCTGTGTGTAACACTTGCATGTATGAGATCATTAAGTGCCTTGTAACTTCTGTTTGTATAGTTTCACTCCGTTTGAATGTCAGTGGACTGCAAATAAGTCAATAAAGGAGCATGGCTGCTCATTCCCTGGCTCTCAAAAGAGTTTGGCTGGCTGTTTAATCGATGTTCACACTGAGACAGTACAACACATAGAGAGATAAACTCTCAACTAATGGCTTATTACTTGTAGAATACGGCATTAATAAGTGTTTTATAATGACTAATAAAGAGCCAATACCCATTGACTAATCACCATCACTCTTATCACCAATGTACTCTTCATCGTGCTGGAGTGGTTGGGGTGTAGGTTGAATGAACTAAAAATAGAGACACACCACATGCTTACTAGAGGTGTGAATCTTCACTGGCCTCACGATTCGATTTGAATGCGATTCACCTGTCAACGATTCAAATTCCCAACGATCCTCGATGCATCTCAATGTATTGCATCCTCAATTTTTGTATTGCATCCTCAATTTTCTATATTATATGCTTATTATATATATGCTTGTCTGTTTTCATCATTTAAAATATGAAATGTAAAATATTAGAAAATCTATATGTAAAGTTTATAAAATTGCATATGCTTAATCTTGTGCCCTCTATTCGCACCTCTAGACATAAAAGAGAGGCGTGCATCGCCAACACAACGTGTTGCCACTGTCAGTTCAACACCGCCCGAGAAGAGAGCTAGACAATCGGAGGGATTATCCGACGTCGAGGATTCCTCTTCCAGCGATGAGTGCACTCAGGATGAAGTGAGCGCATACATCGACTTCAAGTCACCGAGGGAGGAGAATTTCGATGTTCTCAGCTGGTGGAAGGAGCATGCAACCAGGTTTCCGAATGTGGCACACATTGCTCGTTCGATTCTTTCCATTCCAGCTTCAAGCGCCGCGAGTGAGCGAGATTTTTCCACGGCTGGATTTGTGGTCTCAGAAAGGAGAAGCCAATTGAAACCAGGGACAGTTGATGACATTCTTTTTCTGCATAGTAATCTAAAGAAACACTGAATTGTGAGATGAACATAGCGTTGGCCAGCCTGTCTGTAAAAGGTTATACGTCTGTTAAAAAAAAGTGTGTTATACGGAATATATGTTGTTTTATATATTTTATATATTATATAATCCGTATAACCTTTTACAGACTCTGTAAAAGGTTATATGTCTGGTAAAAAATGTCTGTTGTTTTGGCATTAGCCAGCTTGACTGTTCTAAACAGTTAACAGTGTCAGACATAGGCCGCGGCCGCCTTGTTGCAATTGCACTGGTTTCAGTTGGCTTCAATTTGTTTTATATCGTCAGCCATAATGACTATAACATTATGAAACCAAATAAATGCACGTGATTGTTGCATAACAATATGATAACGTTCCGTTTTTAGGGAGGGGCGGAGGACCATCTAATTAATGTGTCAACATGAATATAATTAAATGGAATGAACGGCATAATTTAGGCATTGCATTTCCTGGATTAGGCTACCTTCGTTTTAAAATATACTATCCAAATTTCTAATAATATTATTATTATGTAATTGTTAACATCCAACGCTTTTTGAGCCAAATACGCAACTGCGTGTGTTCATAATTGCATGATGTTAGCAGCTCGAATACATCGTCCAGCTGAACATTTAGGGGAAACGCAACAAATGAATAGTTTATTTTCAGTAAGTGTTTCTGGACAGCTCCTCAAAGTCCTACAGCTTGTATTTAAGGCAGCGCAGCGCTCTCCCTCGGGAGCTCCATTTCCCTTTAATCGTGCTCTGTGAATTCTGTAAATTCTTTCACTGCTCATATATATGCGGGTTCGGGTCGGGTTGCGGAACTAATTGGCGATATGTGCGGGTAGCGGGGCGGGTTCGGTATTGCACGTCGCGGGAGCGGGTCCTCCCGATGGCCAGTCGGTGCCTGCCGGTGAGCGTGGTCTGCCGCAAGCGTGCGGCAGGAGCGGGGCTGTCAGCATCAGCTTGGAGATGGTATTTTAAACTCGATGCGCTCTGAAACTACGGGGCGGCCGTGGACAAAAAATACACATGCGTTAATCGCGTTTTTTTTTGTTATTAACGCGTTAACTTGACAGCCCTAATAAAAACACAACACTGTCATTGCAATTTTTTTTTGCGAGCATGTAAAACCAAAGAAAATACAAATGAAACAAAAGATGATACAGACATGATACAGTACTATACAAATGAATGCAATAACAAAACGAAATATTTTTTAATAATTGAATAATCTGTAGTATCATTGTCTGATATCAATAAACAACAAAGCTTTAGCTAATTACACGTCCGAAAAGGGGTCGGAAGAAGTTTCCACCGACCCCTTTTCCCTACATCTTAATATAGAAATATAGAAGTGCAGTGACACTCAGTTGACTTTTATGTCCACTGCTAAATAAGTTATTCAGGCACATTTTTAGTTGTGCGGTCCATATCTCATTAAAATATCTAATGTTAGTAACTATTAAAGAAAAAATGGGGACAATTCTGTTTTAATGTAGTTTGACCATTGTAACTGCTGTGCAGACATTCTGATAAAATAGGGCCTCTAACTAATTACCTTAAATAAACACACTAATGAAACCAGTTCAATTCACCTTATTCTTATCATTCTTTACGAGCGCAGTAACGGTCAGGTATCTAATTACTTATTTATTTAGTATTCCATAACTTAATAACAGAGATGGTCAAACTGAAGTGGTAGAAATCCTACAATGAAGCAGGACAGTGAAGTGTTCTCCGTGAGAGGGTGATCAAGAAAAGAGAGCGTGTGGTCCTTTCAGTTGAGACACTAGGTGAAGGATGCTTCAGGAAAAGACCAAACACTGGATGTCTTTCAGTCCCCAACATGTGTTTTCGAGACACTGATATTAACGGGGAAACCCTGCAGGACTCAAATGCCTCGTCTCTGTTCCCTTAAACTCATTTGGGAGTGATTACCCATCAGCCCCGGGGTGCAGAGGAAAGGCAGCGTTACCCCCGGTCTGCACGTTGTTTCTCTTTCAGAAACACAGAGGACTGTTTGTATGATGCGATCACAGACACGCTGCAAACGGTGTCCGCCAAAAGTCGAGTCCAGTGTCTATGGAGTGTCTTTTTTATTTGTTCTAGTTTGAGAAGATTGAAAATCGGTAGGGAAAGCCAGCTGAGTCGGTAGGCGGTAGAAACATGTCAAAAGCGGTAGACCACCGCCCAAAGTGGTAGGGTTGGCAGGTATGATACAGTAAAGGTAATCAAATGTTACATTAGAGCTGTGCTTCTCAAAGTGTGGTCCGCGGACCACTGGTGGTCTGTGAGCGCCCCCTAGTGGTCCGTGAGTATATTGGTACAATTTCACATTTTTAATAAATTAATAAATTAAAGTTTTACGCACTCTCGCGGGAATATCTCCGCAATGGAGCGAGCTTAAGTTTCAATGGTATGATATAGCCCAGCGCAACACCTTCGTCACACATGTTACCACTTGTTTGTACCATTTTCAGCCGATTTGTAATCTGTTCTAGAAAAACGATGTGATTTTGGATATTTGTGGAGTTAGGTGGTCCGCGAGTGTTTTTTTATTGGTTTTTCTACCTTTTGTAGCTCTTGCCTGGCCATCTGCTCTCGTGTGTCGTGTAGGATCACACCCACGGTGTAGTGATCCAGGAGGTATAGCATTATCCTTCAGGTTGAGGATGCCTCTAATGCAGTGTTTCTCAAACTTTTTCATACCAAGGAGTGGACCAATAAAAACCAAGGCGGGAGTTTATAAACCAAAGAGTAACCGCCCTTACGGGACGCTGTAATAAGTAAAGCGAACGCACCCGCAAGGACACCTGGCCTCCTATTGGTTGAGGGATTTTGACAGGATTGTTGCACAAAAGTTTCGAGCGCGCACAGAATAAATCTGAGAGCAGAAAAAATCTGTAAACAGCAATATATCTGAGTGCAAGCGTACAGTTTGAGCACAAGCAGAGCAAATCTAAGTGCAAGCAGGCACTATTGGAGTGCGAGGACAGGGTTTGAGGGAAATAAATACATAAAGTATGCTCTCAAATTTAAATACCACGCTCTTGAATAAAGATAGGGAATAACCCCCATAAGTATGGACATTGATGACATGGTTGAGCAGCGACAGCCACTTCTCAACAACCAATGGTCCGTCACCTTGGCTAGTTGATGCCACCCAATAGACGTGGTGACTGATGGACTTGGACCACATCAGCAGTATGTTCAGGATCTTCCTCTTCCCTTTGGCATCAATCTTTTTTCGGATCCCTACAGTATTAAATAAAAATAGTACACCGTTTATCTTGCTTACTTAAAGCACATGTTTATTTCTGTATGTTTTTATGTAAAATAGCACCTTACCTTTAGCTACATGCCATACATCAAACCAGTGTTCAATTGAAGGCTCCTTCTCCCTCATATATTTCTTCACAGAACCATGCCGATCTGTGGTGATTGATGCTATGGTGACACCTTCATCCTTCAGCTTTTGAAGACCCCTCTTCAGTCCCTCCAACTCCATGGCGTTTGAGCTGCTGACTTCATTGCTCTGGATGGATATAGAACCAGAGCATGATTATACACAGATATCAGGTTATTACAGAGTGATTGAACCAAATCTAACTCACCTGTATTAGCTGTGTGTCAAGCACTTTGGAGTTAGTCAGGTCCATCAAGGTGTAGCTGCCATACTTTGCAGTGTGACCAGGCGAACAACAGCGACCGTCTCCTCCTAACTTAGCTGGCCGATCCTTCAACGCTGCCAGGTGATGTTGTTGTTTTCTTTTCCACACATTTTCAACAGCAGGAATCAGGTACGAGGTTTGGAGCAGGGAATATGTTCGCAGAGATATGGCTGGGATATTCATGTATCGAAACAAATTCAGAATCTTCACAGAGCTGTTCCCTCCAAACAAAATGGCTGAAGCAATCTGAAGGTTTCCTGCAGGCATTGTTCCATAGCATGGTTGGGAGTCCCATACCTTAGAGTGGCCATGTGCACACAACTGTTCAAACACCACCATGCTCCCAATGACGCGCTTGAGCTGGACCCGACAAGTGGCGAAACACACAGAGCAGATGGCCAGCAACTTCAGCAGGCAACTGCCATAGACCAGGAACTTTTGGTCTTCCAGAGGCGAGGCATCTCCATAAAGTTCTTTCTTCCTGAAATAAGATTTAAAATTTGTAAACGTGGAAATAGGGCATCGTCGGAAATGAGACTGGACAGTTACACATACCAGTATTCATATATGCCATCTGACTCTCATCGCTCTTTATAATAGCTACATAATACACTTTAATATGTTTGAGATAATACAAGAGGGGTCTTCACTGAGGTGTGATATCACTATTAGATCTACGCCTCGATCTAATAGTGATATCACACATAACGTCATCAGTGTATTATCCGTCATAAATCCCGTGAATGTACACTGAACAAAAATATAAACGCAACACTTTTGTTTTTGCTCCCATTTTTCATGAGATGAACTCAAAAATCTAAAACATTTTCTATATACATAAAATAACCATTTCTCTCAAATATTGTTCACAAATCTGAAAAAATCTGTGATAGTGAGCACTTCTCCTTTTGTGGCCAGCCTAAGGCACACCTGTGCAATAATCATGCTGTCTAATCAGCATCTTGATATGCCACACCTGTGAGGTGGGATGGATTATCTCGGCAAAGGAGAAGTGCTCACTATCACAGATCTTTCAGATTTGTGAACAATATTTGAGAGAAATTATTATTTTGTGTTTATAGAAAATGTTTTAGATCTTTGAGTTCATCTCATGAAACATGGGAGCAAAAACAAAAGTGTTGCGTTTATATTTTTGTTCAGTGTAGCATTAATATAAGTAGCAATATCAGAGCCGTTAAATATCTGATATCGCCCCATGGGGTTTATATCCCAATAAGATCTCAATGTATAAGACATAACACGATATTTGCTGAATATCTACATGTACTTACACAGTATTGTCATCATCTGTGTCTCCATCATCCTGGTCTGTTGTTGCATCTTCACATGAAAAATGCCAGTCAGGATCATCACCAGACTGATCTTCGGAATGATCACTGTCTTCATCAAGATCTATGGGAGGAGGCTCGTACGATGTCCCGATCGTTGTGGTGAGGAGTGCAGTCTGTTGTCCGAAGTCCGAACCAGATTTGAGGCCCAAAGTACATGTTCCCCTTGACCTTGATGCTTTTTTCTGAGATGGAAAATCTCTGTCGTACGTTTGAGTGGCACGGTTTTGCAGCTGTAATAACATTGGAAAATAACAAATTGAACATTTACAAGATGAACAATCTTGATTGTGTATTACAACAGCAGTAAAATTAGAGGGCATACAGTTCATTCAAAAAGGCTGATATTGGTACTAGTGTATATATATGTGAACAACAACTACATCATGATGATTTGTTCTTTATTCTTTTGTTTACCTCTACTTCGGTTTGAATTGCAATTTCAGCTGTTGGCATGGCTCCAGAAGAGTGTGGCTCCTCTGTCCCAATCTCCTCGACTTCAGTATCTCCCTCAATGGCAGGATCCTCAGTGTCTGTGCTGGTGTCCTGCATCAAACTTTGCAACACCTGTTTGAAGGAATATTTTAACCTATTATGCCCTGAGCCTGTTTGTCAGGTTTCAGGCTCGAAAATGCCACTAACACAACAAAGACTATATCTTCACTTGTAAAAGGGGAAAATTAATTGTTGGATGGACGCCTAAAAAAAAAACATTACTTATAGTGAAAATCACCCTTGAATGATGGGTTAGTAGACTAAAAGCTTTAGGAATCAAAACTATAACATATAAGTACCCTGTATCAAGATTGATGCAAAACAAGTGACGTGTGACCTTTTTAGAGAGGTTTAGCCCACCTCTATAAGCAGTGTTCGAAATGGGGGGGAGCCAGGGGGAGCTTGGCTCCCCCGAAGAGGGAGGGAGCTCCCCCGAAGGCCGACTTTGAGATAAATAGGGGGAGCCCAAAAAAATCGTGCATATTTGTGTCACACAGATTAGAAATGTTGAGTTTCTGTAAATAAAAGTTCTTGAAATAAATTATAGGCATTGTTCATTACAGTTTCTGAATATTCGTTTTACATTTGTGAATATTTCTGTGTGTTGCTCTGTACGTGGCGGTGCTGCATTGTTTACGCTACTTACGTTGCTATGGTTACGGTGGCGCCGGCGCGCGATTTGAAATGTTCATATTGATGTTGCTTACTAAATAATAAAAAAAATGGCGAAACGAAAACAGCCAAGCCTCGCAGCTTTTGGTTTCACGACTAAAGAAGCAAAGGAGTCGAAAAATGAAGATGTCAACCGGACAACTTTTAGTTCGCCAGCTGTTAGCGGCTGTAGGGTCGATTTTGACAGCTCCACTCAGAGGGAAAGGCCTGCCGATGCGGAGCCAGAAGAGGCTTCAGAAGAGGCTTCAACAACGGCCACAGCCGCCGGTTCGACCTGCACTAGCGAACCTGACGCTGACGATGCCCATGATGGCCTGCCTTTTAACTGGACACTGAAAAGATGTAGTGAGTGGAAAGAAAAGTATCCATGGCTTTTCATCAAAAATAAAAAATTTGGATGTGAGATTTGCAAAGACGCAAAAACAATATTGATCTCCTTGCCGCTCGGAGAGAAATCCACCGGAGTGCACCTTTCACCAGAATGGATTCAGGGACAGGTCAGCTGTGATCAACAAAATAACCTGCGAAAAAAGATTTATAAGCACGATAAGAGCCAGGCACATGAAAAGGCAATCGCAATTTCGGAGATGAGAAAGAAAGATGTCCTGCCAAACAAGGTATTAGCAATCAATGCTGATCTAATGCAGGAGACATAAACATCGTTCAGATCTGCGTATATGATTGCCAAAAAAGAAATGTCATACAGAAAGCTACCTGCTGTAATGTTCCTACAACAACTCAATGGTGCTACGGTAGGGACTGTGCACAAATCGGACCATGCCTGTGCTGAAATAATCAGGCATATCGCAGAGGAAATGAGAGCTAAATTTGTTTCCAACATAAAAGACATGGGCTCACTAATTAGTATCACAATAGATGAGAGCACAGTTCATGGGCGGGCCTACATGATTATTTACGTGCGATGTGACATGACAGGAAAAGGGGAAGTGGACAATGTTTTTTTGGATATTGTTGAGCTTTCAGAAGGTACGGATGCTAACTCGCTGTACAGCAGTTTGAGGAAAAGCTTAAAACAAGCTGGATTGGATGACGAGTTCTTGGGGAAAAATCTCATCTCAATAGCAACGGATGGAGCAGCAGTACTCACAGGCAGAGTTGGGGGACTTGTGACAAAACTCAAACAGGATTTCCCCAAAGTGCAGTCTATTCACTGTCTATCCCACCGACTAGAATTGGCTGTCAAGGATTGCCTTAAAGAAGTAGCTGGGTGTAATCAATTTGAGTTTTTTGTTGCAAAACTATATGCTCTCTATCACCAGTCAACAAAAAATGCCCGTTTGCTCCAAGAAGCAGCAGCAGAATTAAACGTGCAAATATTGAAAATAGGCCAAATCTTCACTATTCGTTGGGTGGCTAGTAGTTTTCAGACTGTGAAAGCTGTCTGGAAAGATTATCCCGCACTGGCACGCCAATTCAAAACAGCAACAGACGACACAGAGAGACAGAAATTCAGGGGACTGCACAAACTCCTCTCGAGCACTGGATTTCTGGCTGATTTGGCAACAATGAAGGATGTTCTTCGAGAACTTAAAAGCCTGTCGCTAAAACTGCAACGCAGAGAAACATCTTTGGTAGATGCAAGTTGCTACATTCAGCAGACCATCGATGTGTTGACAGCTATGAAAACCAGTGGCGGAAAGTCCACACAAAAAGTGGAAGAAGGCATTGCTACTGGCATGTTCAAGGATGTTGAGCTCTCAGAGAGCAGGCCCAAGATAAACCGTCTGCAGTTTTACCAGTCTATAATAGACAGTTTGAAGAAGCGACTGCCTGAACCGGACCTGGTCCGCATGCTGAAACCACTGGACAAGCGCTTTTGGCCCGAACAACGGAGCGCCCTGATCCTCTATGGGGAGAATGAAGTACGCGCACTGGCAAAAGTACTGGGGGAACCGGCCCGAGAGGCCATTGAGGAGTTTCGGGACTACAAATTAGAGAATAAATCTCCAGGGAAAGCCCTGCAAAAACTGCAGACAGCGAGCAAGACCTTTTTGCCTACATCAGCTGAGTGTGAGAGGGGGTTTTCTGCCGTCAATTCGACCGACACCGACAAACGCAAGAAGTTGCGGGAGAAGAGCCTCTTCTCACTTCTCTTCGTAGACATCAATGGCCCCCCCCCTGGAGCAATTCGACCCTCAGCCATTTGTACGGTCTTGGATCAAAGCTGGCCACAAACCCTCCACATCCTGGGTTCCGGGACCGAAAGCGAAGAAGAAGCCGCCCAGGTCCCTGTGGTCGCTTTTACAGTAAGGTAAGAGAGTATATTTTACTGTTTGAGCTTTTTGTTTGTTTGGACTGGCCCCAGTCCTACTGTTGATATCATTTTTGGTTGTGGGATGTATTAGGTTTTTATCAGACTGATTGACTTGCGTATAGTCTAATCAATCTATAGGCATTGCTCTTTCAGCAACACAACACACACACACACACACACACACACACCACACACACACACACACACACACACACACACACACACACACACACACACACACACACACACACACACACACACACACACACACACACACCACACACACACACACACACACACACACACACACACACACACCCACACACACACACACACACACTTTCATAGCCTGCTTGCATGTTTGTAACTTCTCGTCCGTTTTCCCTCCATAGCAATCCACCCACAGGGGAGTGACAGGGACAATACTGTAGGCCTATTCCAGGCTGGTCCTAAAGAAGCCCCAATTCCTTCAGCTGAAAAAAAGTTCAACTAATTTAAATTCTGAGGCCGCCGTGCCTATGTTATATAGCCTTTAGACTGAAAAACGCTGCCATGTGTCCCCAACAGCAGCTGATGTCGTTGCTTTGTTTTGTTTGTTGCAATTGAATAAATGTTGGCTAATGGCTATCAATTGGTTTTGAAACAGTAGCCTCATGTTGTTATTTATTCTCTCTGAAATGTTATTGTGCCTTGGCAGTAATACCGTCTATAGTAGTAGCAGAGTGTTTTTATAGCAATTGATCGCATCCGCGCTGCTCCGCCAGTCAACAGAGCGTGCGTGTGACATATTTAGTAGCAGGATGTGAACAAAAAAATAAGGCTCCCCCGAAAGCAAATGGGTAATTCGAACACTGTCTATAAGCACCCACTCGGCTGAAAGAAATGAAAGCATAGCGGAGGGCTTTTTTGATGCAATGGCCTAATGAAGTGGTTAGAAGAATGTTGGGTTTTCTAAGTGCTCACAGTCACTTTTAATTGCACAGGGGGCATTTTTAATTGTGGCAGGAGGAATAATAGTGGATTTAATCCCTATCATAATGCATATTGTTCACAATTTTCCGTTATGAGTGGAGGAGCGATGAATGAGCTGCAGACAAACTACAATGCTAACAGTGAATTAGCCCCGAGCGAAAAATGCTAACCTATTACTGCACAGAAAATCACTCCTAGTTCCCTTATTACTTATCCTAGCTCCACATCCAACACATTGTTTATGATCGTAAAGACACATAATCTAACGGTGCCCACCTCTATAAGCAATAAAACTTAATAAAACTGCAATTCCGTTATCTGCGTTATCTGCTGTGCTCCGTGCGCTTTGAAATCTAATCAAAAGTTGTTTACCTCAATTATTTGTCGTTTCTTCATCGCCCGGCTCTTTCGTTCTTTCAGTGGTTTCTTGTGCTGAAATATGGAGGGGACGGCTCCGGGTTTCAGCCTCCGACGTGCTATTAATGCTTCTGCACCAACAGACTTGATGATAGCAGGATCAACCTCGTATGCATCACACGTGAAGTGATCAGAACACAACCTGCTCCATTTTGTCGGTTGCCATCCAACACGATTCACTAACAAAATCCATTTTTTGCGGATGATTTGGTCTTTGGGAAATACATGAAAAACTCTCCCAGATCCCGCACCGTTCGTACAACAAAAAGCTCAACAATAACCCATGTTAATTCAGTTTTCTTTTCCAAAAACTTGTGACAGAGACTGCCGAGTCGGGATGTTTGGTCCAGAGACTGTTTGGCATGTATGACGTCACGCACGCGGCGGCTGCTGGGGAGGTCATGTCAGAAATTCAGACGGCTTTGGGTCGAGTTTTGTATCAATAAAAAGCTTTTTTTCGGGTGTATTATCTCGATTTAAATTTTTTTTTAAATACAGGCAGTCTTAAAAACAACATTTCTATAAAAATGTAGCATATTTGGAAGCTTTGCATTTGATCTTTAATAATAAAATGCTTTATTTTAAAGGGAAATTTAAACACACGTCATAACGTCATGTTATTTTACCATCTGTCCAGAATTTCTGAAAATACCACAGACGTTTCACATCAACTCATCAAAACAATATCATCTACGAAGAGACGTGGCAGAAGAAATTTCTCAAAGGATCAGGTATTAGCCAAACATATGAAATGAATATATGGACGGCTTCCTGTAAATTGAACCTGTTATTTTTTCAGTTTCAAAGGATGACTTCTGTTCCTTCTGTGGAATTGAGCACCTGCCCACAACTGCTGTTGATGCTGTTTGGGTGAGACAATTGTAATGAAAATGGGATCTTACTAAGAAAGAACAATCCAATATTTAGATTGTGGGTATCCTTTTGTTGAACGGTCTGTTTGAAATTAATCGAAGCATCAGACTAAAAAAGCTTTTGAAAATAACCGAATATTTCGATTAAGGTCAAAATATAATATTTGTAAATCTGACTCTGAAAGAGTCAGTGCCTCACCAGCCATGCACCTCACCGCACGTCACTGGTATATAGTAAAGTGTGTCGCCAATGTAACCGGTTAGAACTCGAAGTGGCGATGAGGTCTTAAAATGTATGGAAAGGGTCTTGAAAAAGGTCTTACATTTGACTTCAGGATTCCTGCATATACCCTGGGTGATATACACAGTGATAGGTGTTAAGGACGAACACGTTTATAATAAGATATTTTCATACAATCATACGTGAGGACCGGAGGAGCATAAGTTTCACTTCACTTTTTAATTTAAATTCCAACCTTGGTCATGAAAAATATTTGTTTCTCTGTCGTCCACGTTCATAAAGCATAAAACAACTCCATCAGAGCGCGGTGCAAAGTCTCTAGATGCATCCGCCGTTCTTATTAAACATCCATGTAGTCGCTGTATAGAACACTTTCCCCACAGCAGCAGACGCATATTCATGACGTCCGTTCGCGCATCAAAAACACGTGGATAGTGAAAGTGCAGTCGGATTCTCAAAGCACCGCAGCCTCTTCTCCTAAATCCTTTTGAATTCTCCTATCCACTTTTCCTTAACCCCGTGACGTTTCAC